CCAAACCTCCCCAAACCCTAAACCCTAAACCTGTTTTTGGAAGCCTGCAGACCTTCAGCCGCGCACGCGGCATGCCTTGAAGACGAAATTAACCCCCCAAAAAAGGGTTTAAGGTTCAGTTACCATACAGATGCATAGTATAAACGGTATAGGGCTCGTACTTTCGAGGATCATTTCAATCCTTAAGGTAGAGGGTACGTTTGAGGATTTGTGTTCCTTGGAAGCCCACCTGTAAACTGACGAGAAAGACAAGCTCTCCCAATCTATGCTTGCAGGCTCTTTTGACTTAGCGAGTTGCGATAGTAAGGTGGGCACGGGATGATTATAGCTCCAAGATGCTCTAAGCCCTCACCCTATAAGCCCTGCAGAGTTCTGGGCATACTGATAGATTCACTGAGTCGAAAGAGCCTACAGCTTCCACTCTCCCACCACTACATCGCCTTTTGATTGTACAATAGTGGGCTCTTTCTCAGTATATTTCTGCTTCACCGCCTACCTTAAGGACCAAATGACCCTTAAGCGTAGGAGCCCTATACTCTTCATGCCATGACTCCCTACATGGTATCCCTTTTTAGGGTTTATTTCGTCTTTAAGGATTTCGTCTTTGAGGTAGAGGTTTGGGCTGACCAGTCTCGGATCCATCCAGTGGTTATACGCGTTATATAAAAGCCTGACCAGCTTGCACAAGAAACTGGTGCATATTCTACTGGTTAGGGTTTAGGGCTTGGGGTTTAGGGTTGAATATAGGATCAAGGATCACTCAGGCAGCGTACTACTTGAGTCCAAATCTTTAACATTTCTTCATTGGCAAAAACCCTGCTTCCCAGTTTGGTTCGATTGACTTGGGGCAGCCCAAGCCTTGACCTACCGACAACAAGAACTCGGGCTCCAAAGACAGCTGAAGCGAACATACCTGAACCCCACGTCCTGAACCCAGAGGCTCCAATATCCCTTAATTAAGGAATATACCTTAAATCATATTTAGGATCCTACTATATTTTAAGGAATATTCCTTAATTAAGGGATACTGGAGTCTCTGGGAACCCCCCACAACCCCGAAACATGAACCAACAAAAACAAGCCCCACGCGGCAAACCCCGAAACCTCAAGACCTGTACAAGCTCAGGTACAGGTAAGTGGTCCCGGCTGTGAGTCAGAAGACTTCAAGCCCTGGCTGAGTTTTTCTGAGGCATTCCTCCAGAACTTTCGGAGTTACAGCTTTTGGACAGGGGTTTGTCTAGTTACTAGTTTAGGATAGTTTCAGGGTCTGGGGAGAAGGGCTTAGGGCAGTTTAGGGCCTAAGTTTAAGGGTTGAGCATTAAAACTGTTTAAGGTTTTAGATTTTAGAGGTTATGCATGTTAACCTCTGTGGTTTCCGGTCTATTCGAGGCACCGAGAAAAAATCTGTGGGCCAGGTGGCGTGTGCAGTGTTCCGGCTGTCATAAAAGTAGCACTTGTGCCTCAGAAAGCAAAAAGAACACCGGATATGTCGGATATATTCCGTGTCATCGAGCTTGGCCAATCTAGGCAGGGTTCGCAGTTCGCGGGGATGAGGTGCGAATTTCTGAGGTCGGTAAGGGTTGAGCACCTGGGTTTTACGTTGCTTTTGGCGGTGGCTTAACAGGAGAGAGCACCAATATCACTGCAACCGCTGCCTTGACCTCCGCTGTCCGGTCATAACTTCCCACGTTCTCTCGTTGCCGCTGCTCTGCTGCAATTGCGGCCACAGCCTTTGAGCATTGTCATTCCTATTGACATAGTAACCGCATGTAACCGCTAAACCGCCAAATGACGTAACTTAATCGCCATGCCAACAACGGCATGCTCATCGTCATCATCGTAATCAGTTTCTTCTGCTTTGGAGCCACATAACGGCTGTCACCACCACCGCCGCCGCACCGCCACCGCCACAGCCACCACCACCACAATCATCATTAGCATTACTATTATAATTATTATCATCATCATCACCATCATCATTTTCATTGCTCTCATGATCGCTCTCATCATCCTGGTAATCACCATCTGCAATCTTTTCCACCACAACGACGACGACGAAGACGACCACGACGAGGACGACCGCAACAACAACAACAACAACAACGACAACAACAACAACAACAACAACAACAACAACGACAACAACAACAACAACAAACAACAACAACCACAACCAGAGCAACAGCGACCGTGACCGCGATAGCAAAGCACAGCTACCACGACAAGCACAAGACTCATAGTATGTTACCTGAAGCTGTCGTAGAACTAGTGGCAGCATCTTGGACTCGACCTGCATGTTACCGTAAGTAATTACGCGCCCGAACTCTGACGGCTTCTCGTAACGCCCGTCTAAACCCTGAAAGTCGGGACACCAAATCCAAACCCCAAACCCATTCAACCCTACACCCTATACCCCCTCATCCCACAACCATCTATAAACCCTAAACCCTAAACCCTAAACCCTAAACCCTAAATCCAATAAATATGGAAGGTGCAGGCCGGTGGGCCGACAGGGAAGCTGCCGCAAGTTGTGACGTCTCTCGGATGCACAAGGTGCCATGTTCCTCTCGGTGGGTCGGAGCTGCTAGAACGGACGTTTTGTTCCCTTGCAAGTGTTGAAGTTAAAGCCGGATATAATATATAGTGTGTTAGATGCAGTTCCGACCCTCTATTTTATTTTAAACTTCCCTGAACCCTGAACTCTGAACAGCACGAGCTGCAGGTCCTACATGGCTCAGTACCGGTCCTTTAGACAGCCGACGCCCATCCAGGCCTACTGTTGGCCTGCTGCGTGTGCGGGCCGGATTCTCGACTGAGCCATGTTCCTAATCCTAGATCCCTAAGGGTCCAGGTACCCAAACAGTAAGGTTTTAGGTCCCAAAATCCATACTCTGAATGGTTTTTGGACCTTGAAACCCTACTATTTGGGTACTTGGACCCGTCGGGGATCTTCCTAGACCCTAAACCCTGATACCTGAAGACTGAACTGAATTGACAGTAAGCTCCAGAAAGTTGGAACATGGAGTACGGATGAGTCCTGCAACAATCCCCATTTTTAAACATCTCAGGGCATCAGGAGATGTTCCAACTCTCTGGCCTCTACTGCAAACAGTGTTAGGAAGGTCCTTGGCCATAAAAGTTCTAATCCCGAACCCTAAACCCTAAACCCTAAACCCTAAACACCCGAACCACAGCTTTCAACTCCGAGCCGAAGTTCATTCTCATCACTGTCAGGAATGTCCCTGGCAAATCCAAAACCCTACGTCCAAAATTAGAGTTTAGGGTTTAGGGTTTAGGGGAAAACCCCTAAACTCACCAAGCCCTAAACCCCTAAACCTCCGTGTGACCCTGAACTTTGTGGCAACTCCACAAGCTCACTCTAAACTCAAAGCCCTCAACCCTAAACTCCTTGTACCGTATAATTAGACCCTAACAGTTTCAGGAACATCCTCGGCATCTCCAAAACTGGCAGTGGGAAGACCCTGGCCTTCCTTTGCCCCGGCCTGGCCCGCAGACTGGCCTCATCATGCTTGGGGGGCCTTTGGGGTTTAGGGTCTAGGGTTTAGGGTTTAGGACCGAGTTTAGGACTTAGTATGTAGGAAAGAAGTAAGTAGAGTGATAAGTGCCCTAAATAAGATCCGAATCGGGGTTATGCCTCTACACTAACTACGTACTAGGTCCCCCCACCCTCCAAGTAGGGAGGTGTTCCCTAGAGGGTTGAGGGTTTAGGATCGATTTAGGGGCCTAAATAAATACCCATATTATTGTGTGGGGTTCCTTATTAGAGTTATAGTATGAAATAACCCACAACCCTATTTCATTAAGGTCCCTACAGTAGGCAGGGTTCCTCGGGGCTCCCCATCTTTGTAGTCTAAAACCCATACCCCTGGTCGACGTACTCGGCCCTCTGGTCTACAGTAATACGGCTGATGATATAAATCCTGCAATACCCATGATAAGGAATATACCATACTTCCCATAGTTTAGGGTCCTTAGTAAGGTAATGCAGGGGTTGTATCATTAACAGCTAGTAGTAGGGAAAATCCCAAAATCCTAACATGGAAGCCTATACAAAGTACAGATGCGAAACCTTCGAACCCTAAACCCTAAACCCTAAACCCCTAAACCCCTAAACCCCTAAACCCTAAACCCTAAACCCTAAACCCTAAACCCTAAACCCTAAACCCTAAACCCCTACCCTCTGAAACGACGGCATCCAAGGCGTCCTGTCCTTCCGGAGCTCGCCGACGCCAAGCTTCGGGCCCTATGTGCTGGTGATCGCGCCCACGAGATCCTTGGGGCCCAAAGCTGTGGGCTTTAGGGGGGTTTAGGGGGTGTAGGGTTTAGGGTTAATAGGGGTTTAGGGTTT